GGAAAAAAGAAAAATTACGATAAAAAAAAAACTTATACACGTAACCCTACGATTTCTCTCTTGTGTGACCCGTAATTAATGAACTTTGCGTAACGGTTGTATTTCGGAGAATCAACCCTACAAAGGGGGGGATGAGAGGGGAGGGGGGGGGTGCAAACTATCTACATTATTCCAAGTCAGCGAAGTTTAATGAATCTTCACATATAATGACCTTGGGTTAATTATGTGAGCCGAGGCGATAGATTCATCAAGATCTTATTTAGTTAACGCATCGCCTCTGTTGAAAGGATTGGAAAATAAGGTCAGATTCTTTATTCATGTTCTTATTCTCTTTTCCTGTCTCTCTATTTTTTTTTATATCCCCTCTTTTTTTTCCTTACCTCCTCCCTCTTTAATCTCATATCTTATCTCTCCTTCATCCCACCAATATTAAACAATAAAAACAACAGCGCCACTTTTCCTCCTCCGCTTAATCCCCGCAAAACAAACAGACAGATAAACAAAACAATAAAGGAAAAAAACAAAATCAAGATGTAAATCACACTTCACTCAAGACTTCGTTCGATCTCTCTCTCATCGGGCGAGATTTCACCCATCAATTTCTATGCAAAAAAGGAGAGAAAAAAGGTAAAAAAAAGATGGGAGGAAAAAAAAATAATAAAAAAACATTGAGGTGACAGGGGACATTCCAGAGACATTTTTGTTGTTGTTGTTTTTGTTTGTTTGTTTGGCCTAGAATCGATAGCGGCGATCGAAGTCGTTACGGTATTTTTTATTTTTCATTTCATGATAATGATGGGGACCGTTGTTAGATCGCTAGTGTTTGTGCTGTCTGATTATGGCCAGGTAGACAATTAGATAAATAGATAGATAGAGAGAGTAAGGCAGAGGGAGAGAGGGAGAGAGGAGAGAGGGGGGGGGGAAGAGAGAGAGAGAGAGAGAGAGAGAGAGAGAGAGAGAGAGAGAGAGAGAGAGAGAGAGAGAAGAATGAGACAGCGATTACGCAAATAGATAAAGAAGTAGAGACACTGACACATAATTAAGAACATTTAGCGATATAATTAAAGTCACTAATGAGAGGGTCGAACACGCTACAGAAATATGCAAAAGAGCAAGATTATCAACCAGGTTTATCTTACCAGGGAATCACACTTATTGAAACCAAACATTTCTTCTATTCGTGCGTATGCTTATCTTGGCGTTACAAGAGAGAGATAGAGGGGGAGAGAAGGGAGACGAGTGGAGAGGAGAGGAAAGAGAGGAGTGAGTTGGGAGAGGCTGGGAGAGAGGGAGAGAGGGAGAGGCAGGGAGAGAGGGAGAGAGGGAGAGAGAGAGAGGGAAATTCGTTTTTACTAAAAACTTTTGAATAACTATAAAACTGTAAAATAAAACAAATTATTCTTTTTGCCTACCTGGTATCATCAACGTACTCATTACTTAAAGTGATATATAATAAGCTGAATGGATGAACAAGGAAACAAAAAATAAAATATATATGAATGAAATGACCGACAATTTTCCTTCATTTAGTCTCAGGATGCGAAGAGATAGGCCTAACGACAGCCTCTGATCGAGCCTAATGGTCCATTTCGCAGCAGCCTATGATTAAAATGTTACTTTGCGTACTCTCTCTTCTTCCTGTTTTCGAAAGCGTAGAGAGACGGGGGGTGAGGGATGGAGAGAGGGTGAGAGAGAAGAAAAAAAAAAAAGAAAGAAAAAAAAAACTTTCTCCTGAATGTAGGTCGTAACGAAAGTGAGGATAAAAAAGGAATAGAGAGAGTGAGAACATAAAAAGATGAACTGTCCTCGGAACGTGCGTGTATTGGCGGCCACCTGGCGGTCAAGTGCCTAACCGCAGGCATGTGAAGAGAAGGGGGGGGAGAGGGGGAAAGGTTAAAGTTGAGATAGAAAGTCAGAGAGAGAGAGAGAGAGAGAGAGAGAGAATCAAACACTCACAGAGATAATCAAGCGATGAAACAAAATAAATGAAGATATAGTAGACTGAAGTAAGACGCCGTGTTTGCTCTTTCTAAATACATTCAAGTCTTTTTCGTCGTAGCTTTGATAATGATTTATGGTTTTCCTAAAAAAAAGAACAGAAAACTACTTTTATAAGGGTTTAGATCCATATCAAATAGACTAATTGAGAGAGGGAGAGAGAGAGAGAGAGAGAATCACACCGCATGCTATCAGTGTTGATATCTTGTTTTCATTAAAGAGCTGAAGGGGACTGATGACGCTCCGAGGATCGTATGACACGTGACAAGTGACACGGGACCAGTTTCAGCTGCACCTCCGAGCGAGAGAAGGGAACCAGGTGTCAAATGAGAGGCCAGGTACGCAAGTGAATGGCTTCGGGCTAGCTGACTTGAACCGGAAGGGGAAATATCAACGCATTTTAGGTAATGATCTTGGCTGTTTTCCCCTTTTTTGGGGGAGATTACAACGCATTTTAAGTAATGATCTTGGTTGCATTTTAGGGGAGGGAGACTTCGATGGG